AGCCAAAGCTAGACTTGTGCTGCAGGGATACTCCGATCCCGACTTGCTGTCTGGTAGCCTAGAGACAAGCTCTCCAACCTTGAACAGAACGTCAAGACAGGTACTGCTGTCCATTGGTGTTTTGAACCAATGGGAGTTTCTATGTGCCGATGTGGCTACAGCCTTTCTGCAGGGAGACCAACAAGCCCGTGAACTTTGGTGCAAACTCCCCAGAGATGCTTGCACGCTGCTGAACATCAAACCCAACTCCTTGATGCGACTCCTCAAGCCCATCTATGGCCAGGCAGATGCTCCAAGAGCCTGGTACCAAGTCGCCAGACGACGACTGGAAGAAGTTGGATTCACCCAGCACAAGCTGGATTGTTGTTTGTTCAGACTGCATGATGCTGAAGGAAACCTATGTTGTTTGGTTGGATTACACGTAGATGACATGCTGATTAGTGGCGACCCTCACAATGCCTGCTACAATTCAGCCAAGAAGTTGTTGCGTGAAAAGTTCAATTTCAAACACTGGACTCACATTGATGAACGTGAGAAGCTTGATTTTTGTGGATGTTCGTTTGTGAAAACCTCCTTTGGTTATCAACTTGGACAGCCTGACTACTTTAGCAAGATCAAGCCGATCACCATCGACCCGAAGCGTCGAGACTCAGCAATGGCCACACAGAATGAGGTTAGTGCTCTCCGAGCGGTGCTTGGTGCGCTTCAATGGCCCAGCACGCAAACAGCCCCGCAACTTGGTGCAACAGTTTCTCTCCTCAGTGGTCAGATCACAGCTGCTACAACAGAAGACTTGCGTGATGCAAACAAAGCTTTGAAATTCTCCAAGGTCAACAACGATGTTGGACTCCAATGTCGTCCTTTAGGTGAGATTTCAAATATGGTTTTGGTTACAATGAGCGATGCCTCATGGGGAATTCGACGGGAAGGCCACAGCCAAGGTGGTTACCTTCTCATGCTTGCTCCGAAAGAAATCCTGGATGGTGAAACCACAAACTACATCATTTTGGATTGGAGAAGTTTTCGTTTGCCCAGGGTGTCCCGAAGCTCTTTGAACGCTGAATCTCAAGCATGCGCAGCTGCAATGGATAGTTTGGAATACACCCGAACACTGATCCAAGGATGTCTCAATGCTGACTACACTCTGCAATCTCCAGGTGAATGGGTGATCAGCAAAACAGCTTTGGTGGTTGATGCAAAAGCTCTGTATGATTCAATTCGTGCAGAAGTTCCCCAGCTTTCAGGTGACAAACGAACCAAGATTGAGGTGATGATTGTGAAAGAAAAGACGCAAGAGTGCCAAACACTTTTGCGATGGGTTTCAAGTGAAGCACAGTATGCTGATGGCATGACCAAACCCTCAGCACGTCAGTTGCTCACTGACCGCCTTAGAACTCACATGTTCAAATTGCAAGCGGATGAAGATTTTGTTGCTGCAAAGAAGAAAACTCAACAACAAAGAGAAGCAAATGCCCGCAAGTTTGCCCTCTCAAAAGCTGCTAGCAAGATAGGTGGTTTAGCTCATTTGATTTTCATTTCTCATATCATGCCCGTCACTGGTTTTTCCTCTGATGAAGCCTCATGGTCCGATGATGCAATGCGCCTATTTGTGACTATGGTGATGTCTTTCCTCACTGGATGTTTTTGTATTTGGATGCTGCTTGGATTTCCGAAAATTCTCCAACAGGAACCAAAGCGCGTGGCCTTCAACCTTGCCAAGCGCAACAAGAGCGTTCAATGCGAGATCGAGTACGAGGAGATGTCTGACATGTCCTACCAGCTACACCTTGAACAAGAAGACAAGGCGAGACTGGAAGACAGCTTCAAAAGGGAGATCGAAACACTGGAAAGCTATGCACAGGTGATGAAAGATACAAGCGACACAAACAAGGAGGATGCCGACAAGTTCTTAAGTGAACTCAAAACTCTCAAAGTACGACTTCAAGACGTTGAACAAACCTTGACAGCAAAGATTCAAGAAGTGATTGAACTGGAAAGGCAGATTTACCAAGTTCAAGATTCTCTGGATCGAGCAAACCAAGCCAATGCAAACATGCGTGAGCTCCATGATCACGAGATCGAGTTCCGCAGAGAGGTCTACGCTCTCAACAAGGCACATCGCTTCCACCTCTTCGATGACTGCGACACACTGATGCATGCACGACCCATCACTATGTATGTCTGCAAGGAATGCGAAGAAAGACGTGAGAAGGAAACTGCCGAGATGGATCAATACCAGCACGGTTGGCGCTGAGTGGACTGGAATAATTCCCACTCAGAATGGATGGACTGGAACATTTCCCATCCGAAAGCCTTTTTGGATGGACTGGAACATTTCCCATCCTTACAACACAACAGTTTGCAGAATACAGTTTTTACATATACCCGGCAGACTGGAATTTTCCTGCCGATGAACGCAATGCAATTTTCCATATGTACTGGCGGACTGGAACTTTTCCCGCCGACAACAACTGGCGGACTGGAACTTTTCCCGCTGAAATGAAGCAATTGGTTGCAGACACTGAAGGTATCTGTTTTTGACCAACTCTTTTCCTCCAATGTGAATTTGTCGCCGACAAACTACTTTGGAAGCCCTGCCAGGTTGACAACTACATGCCGCTGTACGCCGCCATTGGTTCAACTTGGCCAAAGGGCCCTTGAGCTGCTCTCTTGAGCTGCTCTCTTGAGCTGCTCTCTTGAGCTTGCCCCGTCATGAAAACATTTGTGGGACTTTGGGTGCCTGCTTTACATAACCCCCGAAGGACATCCAACTTAGAGTGTGGTTTGTCGTGGTTTGGTTGTTTCAACTGAACTCTTCATAGTAACTGTATGTCTTCTCCCATCCCTCCATGAAGACACGATTGGCTTTGGATTCGGTCGGCAACGGGTATTCCACCCCGGATCCAACAAAGTTTTCCGAGTAGAACTTGCCGCCGTTGACTGGGAGAATTTTGAGTTTCCCAATGTTGGTGCCAATGTTGAGCTTCTTGTACATTTGGTTGTCGGAGTATGGCACGGCCGATTTCATCTCTTTGCACGTCATAGTGATGCCCCTTTGACTCGCCGTGTCAACAATGTTGTTCAGCTCGTCTTTCGATCTAGGGCCCTTTTCTTCGGCTCTCACTCCGTTGATGCTCTTCTCTCCATGGGCTCGGTCTCCAATGACTGATAGTGGGATCGCTTGAAGATACATGTACTCTCCAGCCCTTGTCGCCTTGTAGTTCTCTTGGCGGAATCGTTGCTCCTCCTCATCATCCTTTTTGGGAGCTTCCTTCTCTTCGACATCATCGCCTTGTAGCTTCTTCCTCAAGTTCATCAAGGCCAATTTCACTGGATCATTGCCTTGTTCGGGACATTCATAGTTGGGATGACCACTTTGACCACATTTCAGGCAGACATTGCTGTCGTCCGCCAGGGCAAAGAGCGCGTTGATGGCCTCGACGATGGCACCTTTGTCCTGAGATATCTGAAATTCCTCCTCAGGATTCGATGGAGATTTGGGCGCATCGTGCATGTCCGGGGTGGTCGACGAACCTGCCCCTTCAGCACTAGCTCCCGCTCCTCCGGTCGTCGGTCCTGGGGTGGTCGACGTACCCTCCCCGGTCCTCGGACCTTCGGTCTCCATATTATCATCATTGGTGTCATCGGCCTTGGACCTCTTGTAGTTCTCATTGATGACGCTAATCTCCTTGTCCCCGATCAGGCATGCATATTGCAATCCGTGGTACATCGGGATGTCACGTAGGATTTGGTTCACCAACGCCTCCTCATAGTTTGTGGGTTCGGTGACTCTCGATCCACCTCTCTTCGTGTTTGGAGTCGTGGTAGATCTTGTCGTCCCGTGGAAGATGTTGATGGATGCTTCCAGGCCTGCAAGAAGCTCACCTGGATCGGCCTTTGTCTCCATGAACGTGATCTGAGACTTCGTCATGTTGGCCAAATCTAACATGCCAAGCCACATTTCGACCACGTCGCCACATTTCTCGGCCGTTGCATCAGCATAACCCATGACCTCCGTGAAGTCATCTCCGAGCACCATCTTGAGATAGTCCTTGTAGAAGACATCATTCCCATAGTCCTTAGTGACACGATATGCAAATCGATCATGGGATTCGATGCCATCATCCAGAGTGAACTCTTCTCGGATGACACCGTATTGTCTTCCACGTTTCCCAATGAAGATCTGTTTGACGCGATCCCTGGGAACTCTGACCATCCCGAAGTGCGATAACGCCTTCATGAGGATCTCACCGTGCTCGCACCCTTTGTTGCTCACCATCGATTTTGTGACGTCCTTGAGGAACTGCACGAAGTCCTTCTGAGGGTCTGTTACCGGATTGACTGATTCCGACATGATGTTGAAGAATGCTCGGGACCGTGCCGCCGTTTTCACGATCGTCTTTCTCTGGTACTCTGGCGGCCAAAGTTGGTAGTCCCTCATCGTCTCGCTTGCTCGGCAAGCGACGCATTCTTTTCCACAGTTGAAGTCTTGTCTCATGTGATCGGTTGGCATGACTTCATCGTCATTCCCATTGTAATGCCCTTGACATAGAATCATCTCATCTCGCCCATGGTTGACGTAGAACCACATGTCGTACATGTTGGCTGATGGCTCAGGAAGAACCGATCTGACTGTGGCTTCAATCCATGGTGCTTTTTCATACTCAACATGCGATCTTCTTCCACCTCCAACGGTTCCTGGGCAATTGGATCCAGTGCTCGCAGTATCTGGTACACCGCCTCCCGTTCCAATTAGAATCGAGACAGGTTCCTTGAGCACATCCTCCATCAGCTCCAGGTTGATGCCGACCTTCATGGAAGATTCCTTCACCATGTCATTCAATCCCTTTGCGGCTTCAACAATGAGGGAACACATCAATAGTACCCTTTGCCGAAACAAGAATTTCTCCATGGTGGCGAAGACTCCCAACCGGTCTGGCTTGTTCTGGTTGTTCATGTAGTGGTTGCCGGCATGACCATACATCAGTCGCCACATCCCATCATCGGTTGTGACCATGATTCCAAAGCTCCTCAGGATGTCGGCTGAGTCCATGGCGACGTCCTGAATGCCTGATCGGATACCATGAAACCTTGGGTCCTTGCAGAGCGATACAAAGATCGGTCTTGTCGCCATCTTGTCGACGCTTCGGATCGCCTCGGCGAACCTCTCTGCATAGTTCCTTTCAACCCATACGTGGTATGGATGGGTGTCAGTGATGAGGAATGCAAATGATACCCAAAAATGGATTGTCACATTCTCCTCGGTCGCGATGTCCGGCATCACGCCCTTGATCAGGTGCTCAACTGCGTCGAGGAACTTCTGGGCTCTGGTCACGCTCTTGAAGCTGTTGATGTCGATGACTGTGACGACAAATCCCAGATCATCAAGCCCATATTGGATATTCGTCGTTCCCCTTGAGTTCGAGTAGCATTTGTAGTTGAGATCTGTGACCAAAATGGTCTTGCCGAACCTGAACTTTCCGGCCAATTCATCCTTTTCCTTTCTCATCGATGGATTGTCCACAATGGTTCCACCGATGCCCGACATCAGACCCCGTTTCCATTTGTCATAATTGCGGTCAGTGGCCTGTGCATCATCGTTCTTCTCCACCATGACCGTCATGGATCCGACTGAGAGATAGTAGTTCTGATAAACCAACCCTCCACGCTTCGATGCAGCGTTGTAGATCCTCAGCCATTCCATGTCGCTGAACGGGTAGGATGATTCACCAATCACTCTGGCGTTGGCAAGTCCGAAGCATAAGCAAGTGTACGTGGCAACCCTCCTGAGGTATTGACGCCACGTCGATTGCGCCACATTCGCCATTGGTCCTTGGACATGCGACAGGGCAAACTCAGTGTCGGTGGTATTCACGTGGGTGTTCAGGATTGATCTCACCTGAGTGCCCGTGTAGTCTGTCAACACTCTGCAATACGTGATCACATTTGAAGGAGTCAATGGTGGAACATACTCCGTTGCAGGAGTCTCACGTCTCGGCATAGGCTTCGCCGCAGGCTTGGGTGCTGCCTGTGGCGGTGGTGGTGGTCCAGCCGAACTCGACGCTTGAGATGCCGATGCACTCGGTCCCGACGGTGCCGATGGTGATGTCGGTCTGGCTTTCGGCGGTGGTGGTTTCGCCGATGGGTATGGTTGTGGTGGTGCTTTGTATCCAGGTGGTGGTCCAGGAGGTGGCCTTGGTGTGAACCTGGTGACCCTTGGTGCGGGCACTGTTGGATCTGGGATCGTGACCCATTCTGGAATCCACGATCTCGGTGGTTCTGGTGGCCAAACTCCATCACCAAACCTCAAGACTTTCTTCCATCCACTTGATGCAACCTGTACTCCAGGCTGTCCTCCACCTGCCTGAGTCTCTGAGAGGGTTGTCGTGAATTCCCTCAAGGCAGAAAAGCATTTGTTTCTTTTCTTGATCTCTCCGTGGTTTCCCTCTTCGACATTGATGACGTTGTAGCCATGGTTCTGCAGGATCTCTGAAGTAAGCATCAGTGACTGTTGAACCTTTCCAACGTAATCGTCGATCTTTTTCATGTTCGCCCTTGCCAGATCGGAATAGTTCAAAAATCTTTGCAGCTTCGCCTTCGACCTGAAGATTGGTGGGGCGAGGGCCAGGATGCACGTGAAGTGATTCACGGCAGCGGCTCGCTCGCGGCCCAGCTTGGTGTTCTGCTCGATGAGGTCATTGATCGTTGTTTCCAATGTCATTGGCTCCACAAGCTCTCCCTCATCGTCAACCTTCTGGTTGTAGCATCTCCATGCGGGCCCAAGGTGGATGACTTGACGTTGCCATTCGTCGAGCATCGCATTGAATGTGTTCTGGGTCGATGTCGACTGCCAGGACGTACCCAAGTCGAAGTAGTGGAGCTCACGATGAATCGCCGGTTTAGGAGATGGTGATGGGCGCGTCAGGATCAGACGGATTGAGAACCCCGTCCTTCTTCCTTGTCGCACTCAGCCATGTATCCTCTGCCGGGACGGACTGGTTCACACCTCGTAGGTCACCTCCATAAGGTCGAAGTTTGAACTCTCGAAGGTGATCACGTAGCATTGACACCGTGAACGTTCCATCAACTCGGATTGGATGAGGTACATGGAAACTCTTGATGCACTCCCACATGTTCGCCAATCCATTGATGCACTCTGATGTGCAAAACACAAGAACTTTGTGATTGTTCCGAGATGCTAGTTGAACAAATGTCTTCATGTAGGTGGTGCATTTGTCCAAGAACCTTTTGGCCCCAGAGTTCAGCTCCTCCTGATTCTTGATCAGTTCCAAGACCTGAAGATACAGGGTGATAGCATCTACCTCGGACCGGTTCGAGGGCACCTTGCCTAGGAAGCATGCCGAAGCTGCCACGATTGGACTAATCCCAATCGCATGCCACCTGTCGAGTGTGCTGTCTGGCTGGCTGCTGATAGTCGGGTCGTACTCCTTGTACACAGCAGGGATCACGCCTTGCTTCCCGTTCTCTCTCAACGTGATGAGGATGGAGTTGATGTCGTTGAGATCATGCTGCGCAGAACCAATGATCTGCGAGTAGTTCGACATGGCGACCTTACCGAAAGGTTCACGTACTAGCCGTGGCTGACTGACCTCCGGCGTTCCGATTCCCTCGAGGTCACGTACTCCCGGGCGGCGACGTCCGTTCCGGTTTCCGATCACTCGTTCGGTGGTGCACGACGAATGAGAAGCCGCAAAAGTCTTGATGCGTTGACTTCCCGTAGATTGATATCCTGAGAAATCAGGGTCAGCATTGATCCGACATCTACTCCTATGATATGTCATCAACCACATGAGATCTGCTGCAACTTCATCGTTGTCATGTATAATTGAGACCGCTGTCACTCTTCTTGATGGATCGTCTGTCATGCATGCAACTGCTGCACATGTCATCTTCACTCGACAACAACTTCTTGAACCGAATAGACACATTCCGACATATTGTTTTCAATATAATGTCGACGATCTGCTGGGTGTAGGTCTGAGTGATCCTTGTTTCGCGACCTTCACACTTCCCATGATCATGTCTTCGGTCACACCTTTTGTGTAAATCAAACTTGACCCCCCACAATACAATCCTCCATGGCTTCTTAATAGGGATGTGACGACCATCAAGCTGAGTCTTCAGACCGTACATGCATCCGTCAAAGTCATGAACATGTGAGTCTGTACCTTCAATCATGCACTTCATCCGCTCATCATGCCAATAATCGCAACCTCTTGGTAATTCCAAAAGTGCCATAGCATCCAACTTGATTACTCTCAGAAGACAATTTGAAAACTCTTCCCATAAATTCCAGTATAGACGTGCTTTGGCGTTGATCATGTGGGCTGTAACAGAACTAACTCTTTTGTTCAGTCTGTTCCATGGAGATCCGCCTGTGCAAGGTCCAGCGAAGAAGACGCAATCCTTGTTGCTGCGGAGGCATCTCCTCCACTTCGCACTCCCATATCTGGAGAGAAGGTCATCATCCTCTGTGATCAATTCCAGATGAATAGATATGTCCATAATTGTACTGTATCTCTTTGTCATCAAACTTGAAGGCTCAGCACACATCAGTATCATAATGGGTGTACTTTCGGGCAACTCTTGCATTGTAATAGTGCCGTTCTTCCCCAAATATTTTGTACTCTCGAGATCGGGAATAGATCTGACGAACGTATACTTCATGCATTGCCCATTGTCACGAACCAATAATAAATTCATCAGACTGTCCGCAAATATGTTCAACTCATTGTCATTCTTGTTCTCTTCGATCATCATCCAATATGTGTGGGGAATAAATATCTTGTTCGGTGAAATGATGTCCAGACCCATGGTGTTGACACAAGCCATCAGATTATCATCCATAATGCAACTCGCAACCGGAAGAACCTCCTGATGTCTCAAAACACGAAAGATAGACTTTCCAGTCCAGAACTCATTTCGATTGTTTGACCTTTCTCCATTATCACCTGGGAGACGCCAATTACTTTTGTCCACCCTCACATTCGACTGGAACTTCAATTGAGTTTCTCTCCAATCTTGAATCAAACGATGATCGCAAGGACAATCTTCACAATCACTTGGAACGAACATTTCTCTTCTTGGTATATTGTGGATCCTTTCCAGAACATGATCACCTATCCATCTCCATTCATCACGAACAGGAACTTCATCATGACCACATTCAGTTGCTGATGCTATTTTCTTAGCATTTCTTCTCCGTACGGGCGATTTTTGTAACTTCATCTTTGAAACTTGTTGTTTGGAATCCTCCATGCCTCTCCCCCCATGAACAAGGCGTACCAGGGCATTGATCACCTTAATAGTCATGGAATTCCCTTCACGTAACGAAAACGGAATCTTTTGAGGACGTTGAGCTTGTTCAAAGAGTATTTCAGTACTGAATGTGAGGCTCGGATGATTGTCCGGTTCCAACGTCGACGCCCGTAGGAACTGTTTGCTGGCCGCCGTGGACGCACTTGCGGGCAGTGAGACAATCGGAGCGGAAGTGGGGTAATGGTATTGGAAACATGCCCTTTCTATCCATTTGTCAAAACGTGATTGTTGTAACAAAGGTGGAACACGATCCTCAACTTGTTCCCACTTCCCGTGGACTAAGATCCAGGTGCTCCGAAGGCAATCTGCAGGAAGCTTGACACCGGCTGGTCTTGTTCTGAATAATGTAGGGGTTTTGACCACAAAGATAGGATCCATACCAGGTAGCTCTTGAAGCTTGTCTCGACTTGAAAGACCCTTATGATACACCTCAGGTGGCAGTATGGGTGTTTCAGTATATGGAAAATTTGGAACCTCATCTGTCACTCATCTGTCCTTGACTGAAAAACTTGACGAACTGTAGTGTCAACATCCGTAGTGGGCTGCACTAGGTCTGCCAATTGCTTCGAACCAAGGTCTTCGGGTTCCAAAAGATTGATCAACATACATGCCTTTTTCCAGGCAAGTGGGTTTGTAAAACCTTTTGTGTGGATGTCCGCGGCCATCTTCGCCGTGATCTCATACATGAGAACGAAGTGATCTTTGCTGAAATGCTCATGTAATGGCGTAATAGAAATCCCATGAGTCCTTTCCAGATGCCGCATTGTTGGATTCCTTCCAGAACGAACCACACCAATCATCCCTTGATTGTCATCATGAAACAACAGCTTTGGAGATGATTCTGTAAGCGTTTCCCAAATACTGAGTGCAGGAAGACCCATTGTTCGAAGGGTTACATCAGCGGCTACGATCTCAGCTTCAGGTGTAGAATGGCTCACACACCCCTGGCGTTTGCTTCCACCAGCTAACGGAAACCGAGTACGTTTCCCCTGAATATGCATATGAGAACCTGATGTGGACCTCAAAGATTGTGCACATCCCGCAAAGTCAGCATCTGCATACAACGCAATGGATAGATCTTTCATGTCATTGCCGACCCATCCAATCATTCTCTTCCCTAAGGTAGAGTTGACATAGCACATAAGATGGTATAGTTTGGCATCATCTTGAATGGACCATTTTGTCACATTGCGTGCTAATGTATTGATC